GCTTGTCTCTTCTAGACCTCCAAATATTAGAATTCCTGAAACCTTAATCCTGAACTTTCTTAGCTATCTATACTCATATTCCAAGTGATATCTAACCCAGCACTTGAAGGACATCTGTGTGATAACTACCACATTTATATTTTCAGCCCCATCTCTCAGGAACTCTCCACTGAATAATAAATGTCTCCCTGAAGTGTCTAGTGTCTGGGAGGCATCTTAAACCTCATGTGTTTAAAACATGTTCCTCTTACCCTTCTCCCTCCACAAAAACTAGTCTTCCCCAATTCTTCTCCATGTCTTTTTAAATGGTACCATTGTTCACCTCACTGCCTGGGGCCACTATTGATCTCTCTTGTTTCCTCACATCTCTCCCCTAATCCATCAGTGGGCCCTATAGGCTCTACATGCAAAATTATCTTGAATCTGACCACTCCTCAGGTCCACCAGCCAGGTGAAAGTCAATTATTTTCTGTCACATGAACAATGATTATAGTCCCTGAAGCTCTCCTGGCTTCCATTCTTGTCTCCCAACCAGCATAGCCAGCACCACCATTTTCATTACCACCTCCCGCTAAAACACGTTCTCCTCCAGCTGCAGATCTTTTGCTTAGAATGAAATCTGGAGTGCTTATCATGGCCACTAAGGCCCTGCCATGTCTGGCCCCTTGCTAACTCTCTGCTCTTTTCTCCCTCCATTTTTTCCCCATTTGCATCATGCTTCTGCCACGTTGACTTTTCCCCTTTTCCTCAAACAAGTCAACTGAATCCAGGTTCTGTGCCTTCCTTCATGCTGTTCCCTCTACCTGAAAACTCTTCTATTTCTCTCTGTGGCTTCCTCCTTCATACCATTTATGTTTCTGCTCAAAAACCACCTCAATAGAAAGGCCTTTACTAACCACTCCATAGAGAATAGAGCCATCCTAAATAGTCTCTACCCATTTATAGTTCTCATCACTATGTGAAACTGTTCAGTCTATTCCATCCACTTGTTTCCTATATATTTTTCCCACTAAGAGGTAAGTTTCAAAAGGGCAAAGCCTTTGTTTATCCTATTTATTCTCTCCTCAGGGCCTGGGCTCATGTGTTAGACATATTAATTTTTTTCTTGTATCATGTAAGAGATAATAAATATATCTGAATTAAAGACAACTCTCACAATAACCAGTGGACAGAAATGATTTCTTCAATCTTATAGGTGAGGAAACAGGCTCAGAGATGTTAAATGACTTGGCCATGATTACACATACAACCCGAGTGTGTATGATTTTAGACACGACAGTATTTTTGTGATTTATAGTTTTTTTGAAAATTTCAAAAAAAATTACAAAAAACATTGCAAAACAGTACCAAAGTTCCCTTTCTGTGCAGTGTATTTTTATTTATTTGATTCATTTATTTACTTTTACCTTCACTCAGATTTCCCAAATGATAACATCTTGCATAACCACAGTACAGTCAAGATCAGAAAGTTAGTATTGATGTACTAGTAACTAACCTACAGACCTTGTTCACATTTCCCCAGCTGTCCTACTAATATGTCGTGTCTCCAGAGTCTCCATCAAAGTGTCCATCTTTGTCTTCATGACTCTGACACTTCTGAAAAGGCTCATATTCTTACCATCAGTGTACAGTCTACGCAGAGAGCTGTGCACATGGAAGGTTCTCCATTGCAATAGCTATATTTTTGGGGCAATAAATAAATCTGCTTTTTGGGGAGAGGCAGGAGAGTGGCTCCTCATGTTCTGTTTGTGTTTTGCTTAGCTTGGCCGACCTTGAAGTGTTTATAAAAAATAGTGAGAGTGGCTTGCTCAAGGAAGTTGAAAAAGGCTATTTTAAAGGATTGGTTGAGATTATGGGACACCTTACGGCTCTTAAAGAACGGCAGGGCAGCACTGATGAGTTGTTTGAGCCCTTAAAGCAAACTATTGAATTGCTGAAGACCTATGGACAAGAATTGCCAAAAACAGTCTTTAAGCAGCTGGAGGTCAGTGCAAAATTTGTTTTCCTAATAAAAGAAAGAGTGGGGGAGTTTTAGGATTTCAGAGTTGGGTGAGGTGGATTGAAATAAATGAGAAACAGGGCTTAGCAATTGCCCAAGGCCCATATTTTAGAACAGTATGCATAAGGTATGTGTCATATCTAGCACATGGTGGAAACTCAATAAATATGAAACACTGTAATTCTGGAGGATATATGGGAGAATTGATGTGGACAAAGTGTGTCGGGTTTTTTTTCCAGAATTAAGGGTGAATGAATTATTTTCATTCAGAGGAGAAAAGAGCAGATCTGAGGAGTGTTAAGGTGGTCTAAGAGGAAGTGTGGGGCGTTACAGAAAATAACCAAGTATTCTTGGAAAATATAAAAAGGGAAAGGGTTACTGGGTCAGAGGCTGAGGGCAAGAAGGATAGTGTTGAGCCCAAAGTAGGTGATCGTCTATAGAACAACTGACTAGGGAGGTAAGTCAAGGAAGGGGAGTTGTTGAAAATGGACAAATGATACCATGGCATTGCAGCAGGTGTTGTGGCAGACGTGAAGATATCTGGGGTCTGTCCAGTTTCAGGACTGTGGTGAAGGGAGGGAACAATGTGGGTTTGACCATGCTGAGGTCTCCATTGCAGGAGCTGCCTGAGAAATGGAACAACATAAAAAAGATGGCCATTACTGTGAGGCAGCAGGTGGCCCCACTGCAAGCGAATGAAGTGAGCATCCTCCGCCAGAGGTGCACAGCCTTTGATGCTGAACAGCAGTGGTTCTGCGAGCAATTCCACTAAGAAGCTCCCTTCAGGTATGAATCAGTCACCACCACTGCCTCCTTACCTATAAACATGGCACCTTTGAGTCACTGACTGTCTTTCTGTTGAGTTTGTGTTCTTCTAGCAGGTTAAGACTAGTTAACAGTCTTCCCTCCCTTTAGGGTTAGGATGTGGGGCTCTACTGGACAGCATCCTCTCAGGGCCTGCATGAGATGACCACAGGTTGTGCAAACAAAAGACCTTGCCTTCAAAAGTCTAGAAACTTCTGTGTCTCCAGGTCTATAAAGGGATTGTATGTGGTATAATTATAAAGTTTTCACTAAACTGTTGGTATTCTAAATTCTCAAAAACTCCTTTTCTTTTATGGCTGATAGAATTTTAAAATATTTTTGGAAGGCATTTTGGTAGCTTAAATTAGGAAGGATTTGAGGTGAAGGGTTTACTTCTTTCATAGCTTAGTTATGCTCAGACACCTCCCTACTAGTGATTAAGGGGTCTTTACATAAAATAGCTATAGGATGGGCAACACCATTCACATGTGTGCACAGTGTGCATGCACACATAGGTTCCATTCTCTGAGGTTTCCTCCCTTAATGGGGAAATCCGCTAGGGTCTGCTTCTGGTCTACTGCTCAGCATCAGAGGCTCTGAAATATTACACTGGGAGGTACATGTTAAAGCAACAAATGAAACAAACAAAAATCACAACTCTACTGAAAGAAAGTAGAGCATAATGATTAAGTATATGGACTCTGGACTCAGGCTGTCTAGTCTCTAATCTCAGGCTTAATGCCCATGTCAGTAAGCCACTCAATATGTATGTGCTTCAGTTTCCTTGTCTGTAAAATTGGGTTAAAAATAGTATACACCACATAGGATTGCTGATAGGGTTAAAGCAATACCCTTTCCAAGTGTTTAGCATAGTGTCTGGCACTAGGGTGACCAACCTTCTTGGTTTTCCCTTGACTGTTCCCATGTTACCACTGAAAGGTCACACATCTAGGGAAGTCCCTCTGTACCAGGCACATCGGAGCTGTTGGTCACCCAACCTAGCCCACAGTTAAGGGTCTACTTATTCTTACTGAATAATGTTCACCAAACATTTATTAAGCAGCTACTCTCCCCCAGGTATTATACTTGGGGCTAGAGAGAACAAAATGAGTGTGTTGAGAGTATGGGAAGGGCAGATTTGTAAAACTGCAAATGATGTGTATAGACAGATAAAACACAGGACTCTGAAGCAGTGTGCTACCATTTCAGCTGCACATTAGAACCACCCAGGTCCAACTTCCAATGTCCAGTCTGCCCCACAGGCCAACTATATCAGATTCTCTGGGGGTAAGACCTGGCATCAGTAGTTTGTAAAGTTCCCCAGGTGTTTCCAGCATGCAGCCAAGTTTGAGACTGCTGCCCTGGAGGGACGTAACTGCTTCTCTTCTCAGCAGTCAAACCAGGACATTAAAACTGAGTCTGTCTCCCTCTAGAATAATTGCCTTAGTAGCTATGCCCTCATTCCTAAGAAACATCTATTGTTCAAAACACTGTGGAACTCCTTTTGAAACTTATCAGACTTTGAAGCACATTGTTTTGACTCTCCTTTTGGGCATGCAGTTGAATTTTTAAAATTCAACACTGGTCATGTAGAGCGAAAGCTGTTGAGGGAGGTAGGATATCAAGCTGAGTAATACTGCTTAGTGTTAACAATCACACCATGGCAGCAGCCATAAAAGTAATGATACTAATAACCTTGGCATTAGTCTGTCTTAAGACTGTCTCCTAAGAAAATTTCAAAGAAGGAATTCCCAAGATGGTTTGGTGAAATGGCTTCCCAAACAGGCTTCTGAGATTGGTTGAAAGGACAATACTCATTTGCTAGTCATCTGATGGAAATCTGGTATTCCTCCTTCATGGTTACATTGTGTACGTGTATTGATTGGCTGTTGTTTTTTTATTTAGTAGCCACACTATTTTTTTTCCCTTTCTTAGCACTTTATCTGCTGGCTATGAGGATATCACTCCCCTTAGCTGGGTTTTCCAAATTCACATCTGTTAATTTGACATGCAGACGAATCTCTGGAAGAGAATGCTTTGAGAAGAACTGCTCACAGCAGTGTGGAAATCCAAACATTACTGCAATTTTGATGTATTTCTCTCCTCAAGAAAACCTTCAGGACTAGAGCAGAATTGTGGATTTACTGATGAAGGGAATCTTCGTGGGTGTCAATTCATTTTGTTTTGTTTCTTAGTTTGGTGTGCGTGAATGTGTGTGTTTAAAATGTTTAGGTACCATGAGTAGCAAATGAGTTTAGTTCTGGTTGCTTCACTTTGAGATCATTGACGAATTTCTAAAATGCAGCCTGTGGTGCATTCCTCGATGCATGCAAGTATCTATTCCTGATTAGACTACAGATTAAGCTCCCATTTATCTTGTCTTTGAGGAAGAGAAAGAAATAAAGTGTCTCATTAGGCCCTTGCAGTCTGACAGGTGCTGGGTGACATCACATTGCTTGGGTTGAGGTTCTTCATGTCCAAGTCACGTTTTACTTCCTCTTTTAGTCCTAAACTCTCAGCTGTGTCAGCATATTCCTAGTTGAGCTCTCTCACTTCACAGTAATCGGCTAAATCATCATACTCAGATTCAAGGGCTTTATAGAACTCTTAAAATTGGAGACTAATTCTCCTCTTTGAGTGAAAGGGATGTTCTGTGCTTCCAGCAGCACTGTCTTGTTCAGTCTTCCTGACCTTAGGAATGATTCCAGGACATCTTATCCATCTCAAGACCAAGGTAACTCAGGGGTTTCTTAACCAAAGCATTTGACCCCTGCAGGCTCCAGCTTAATGGGGAACATTAGTGGTTTTAGTTGGCTGGCAACCAGATTCTGTCAATAGCTGGGGGGCCTTCTTGAAGACCCCCCTCCCATTGGGTACTATCCTGCATGTACCCAAGCAAGGCTTTCCAAATAGCCCAGAGAGCACGCAGGAGGGAAGAAGGACCTCTGTCTCACTTGGACAGCATCTTACCATCTCTTCAATCACTGGGGAAAAAAGCAACATTGGGTCATTAAATCTCCCAGGGACATATCTATAGTTCATTAGACTACATCATCAGTTGAGCTTGACCCTGTTCTTCCAGCTAATTTGACTCATTCACATGATTCAGGCTTCCATGGAACAAAAGAGGCTGTGGTCTCAACAGTGGAGTCAGCAAAAATGGTGCAAAGGCTAGGATTTTAAAGTAATACACAGTCCCTGACCTCAAGGACTTACAGCCTCAGGACAGTTTCAAAAATGAGTAAGTAGTCATGTTCACTGGATGCCAACTTCAACCCCCACTGGGAGGCAGTTCACACCCCCTAGAAGAGGGTGCTGGAGCCATCTTGAGAATTAGCCACTTGTTCTCCGTCTTCCATTTTGGACAAGTCATTGGAAGGGACTGTTCCACTGCTCACGCAGATGGGGGCCACAGGATGGGAAGAGCTGAAAGAACACAAGTTTAGATCAGATGTGCTGAGTTGTACAATACCTGTGGGGTATCAAGCAGAGGTGTGTCATCATTCGTTGTATACACGTATGGTGCTGAGGTTAACCTTTACCAACTACTAGCTTCCCACAAAACAGTTTAAGTCACTGCTCTTTCTCTGTCTATGCTCAAGTGTAGGTCAGGCTGGCATCAGTCATTTTTCCAAGATCACATGCATGAACACCCTATTTCCATCTCTCTTAATTATGGTTTTATTCATCCAGACTTTCCAGACATTTCTCTTTTAGATTAAAATACTTTTGCATTATTATTTCAATTTCAAAGACTTAGTACACCCTTTTCCCTCCTATTACTTTCTTGTTTTTGTACTGTATTGCTCCCCTGAGTTTAGAGAACCGCTTGTAGTTTATTAGGCACATTAATCAGGTCTATGGCTATCCTGACAATTCACACTACAGTGTTTAAATGGGAAAAAGGTTACCTGCCCTCATGTCCAGAGGTCCTTTTCACTACTTAGGCCGAATTAACTTTTATGTGTGCTTAGCTGTAGGAAATTACTGTCCACAAATTTAAACTATAAACAAAAACTATGCCACAGGGTAGATGAAGTTTGGGATAGGTTTGACAAATGATCACCTCTTACAAATATTTGAGGAACCAATATTGATTTAAGGATGTTCATATGTGCTGAGGAAGGAATGGTTAGGAAGATCATTTATCTTCTTTTGTGTGCACCCCCAAAACTCTAATAGTGCATATCTTACCTATTAAGTTATTCTTGAATTTTACTCCATTAATATATTAAACAGCATGTGGGCTACTAGAATTTGTCTAGTCAATCTTGTGCTAATACCAAGAGGCTAAGTTCACTGCAGTCAAGATAAAAAGTAGAACCTACACAGTGACAATTAGTCTCTGGAAATTAAGAATAAACAGGACCATTCAGGTATGGTGATCTTCCCTGCTGGACCGCTTGCCTTGAGGATGTTACATTTCTTTCCTTCTAGTTCTTTCTCCACTGTTCTCATGGGGGAGAGGGTTCCTTGCCTATATAGATGAAGGGCCCTCTTCAGCTCTGTCATCTCCAAACTCATATTCTGTTCTGAGACAGCTGGCAGCTGGAGAACAGTGAAGACGTGCACTGTTGTTCAGCCTCATTCCCGTGAGGAGTAAATCCACCACCATAACACAAGGGCCAAAAACTATTTAGATGGAACAAGCGGAATCAAACAGAGCAAGCATCAAAGTTAATCTGACACTAATTTAATGGTATGCATAACTGTTATTGTGTTGCATGGCAATTAGGCTTAAGTGGTGAGCGGTTCGGGTAAATGACTTTAATTAGGATCACGTTCCATCCATCAAGTCCAATATTTCCAAAGAGGACTGAGAGAAGAGGCAGTTCAAGAAAGGGAATTTGTATGCCATCCTTCTCCTTTCTCCCCTCCCCTCCCCTCCACATCCCCCCAGCCAATACACACATACGGATACGCACACTCAGTTGGAGGAAATGGCCAGTTCTCTAGTCATTCATGTCCTCTCAACTTTCCCTTTGAGGATGGACCCTGGGATGCCCTATTCTGACTTTAGAGGAACGCAGTGTTCACATGTAAGTCGTGGTGTCCCCAGTACCTAACCCAAGCATACAGAAACAAGAAAACCTGAAAGAGGTGATGGCGAAAAAGTGTAAAGAGAGACTGCGGAGGAAAATGAGAGGCTCCTTGAACACTGGGTTCTGGGTGCTCCTGGCCACAGAAACATTATCTGCGCGTGTGGGTTCCTTTGTATGTAGAGTTCTTACATGGAGAGGCCAAACCAGGAAAGCAGGTCTGGGCGGGTGGCAGCATCAAGTAGGTTAACGCTGCTGAGCACCAGGAGCAGAGGACACCTGCCATACACATTGTAGAAAAGAGGATAAGGGGGCGTGAATTAAAACTCCAAAGCTAGATACAGTGTTTACTGGGGCAAGTGCAGACCCAGAGGCCACCCCAGGATGCAGGCAGAGCAGACCAGAGAGGGCGGAGGGGCTGCTGAGCACAGCCTGGAGAAGGGACTTAGATGAGGAGCCCGAGCTGAGGCACATAGTGAAGGAAACTGATGGTGACTGCAGAGTGCCTTGCTGAGGGCTTGTGTTCAAACTCCAAGGCTCCCAGCAGAGGTCCTCAGACTTGGAGGAAAGCACTGCAGGCCATCAACGTGAGTCTCACCACAGACAAGGACACCAGCGGAGCACATTGGAGTCGCCCAGGGTGCTTGAAAACTGCCATTGCGCACACCCCAGCCCCAAAGATTCTGATTTAATTGATCTGGGGAGCAGCCTGGCATGGAGATTTTAAAGCTTCCAGAAGATTCTAATATGCAGCCAATACTGAGAGCCACCACTCAAAAGGAAGCGGTGCCAGATGGGGTCAGTGCTGGACTTTTAAGTGCCAGCCCTCTCGCTTAAAGATGACTTCCCACTAGCAGCTCCTGGTAGGCTTTGGCTTTTAGCATCTGCGGTAACATGCGGTGCTCTTTTGTGACAGGTGGTCTGGAAGCCAGTGAGTGGCAGCAGAGTCTGAAGGGGGCTTGAACAAAGGGATGACTCCCCTCTACCCTGGATAAGGGGTTGGGGGAGGTGGAGGAGGAGAGGAGCATTTTTACCTTCTCAGAAGTGAAGAAAAGATCCAAGCAGGGAGTTCCTCTTGGAGTGTCTTCCCTCCAGTGGGTTGTGTTCACTCTACTCCAACCTTTCCTGAATGTCTTTTCTTCCCAGGCTTTGGTGAAACTCACTGCTCTTTACTCAGATACTAAGCATTTGTGCTCAGCGAAATAGGCCAAGCAGAGAAAGACAAATACTATATGATTTCACTTACATGTACAATCTGAAAAGCAGAACAAAGAGACAAACAAAAAAACAGAAACAGACACATAAATATGGAAAACAAATGATGGTTGCCATAGAGGAGAGGAGTGCAGGGATGGGCAAAATAGTTGAAGGGAATTAAGAGGGATGAACTCCCAATTATAAAATAAGTAAGTCATGGGGATGAAGAGTACAGCATAGGGAATATAGTCAATAATTTCATCATTTCATATGTTAACATCTGGTAACTGCTTTTATCATGATGAGCATTGTATAATGAATATAATTGTTGAAACACCATGTTGTACACCTGCAACCAATATAATATTATATGTCAACTTCACTCAACTAAAAATAAAAAGTAAATATTGGAGTTGGTAGTACTTTGGTGATCCTAGGAAATGGGCCTGTACAGCAATAATATTACTAATAAGTGTGCTGTACTTACAAAGGAAACACATTGTGTCTTGTAGATTTGACAGCATTGACCCTTATCAAATGCTGGATGCTGGCAGATGGAATCCACCATGGCCTCCACTGCAGAGTCCGCCAGCCTGTTTGAGGTTAGTGTTCCAGACTACAAGCAGCTAAGGCAGTGCAGGAAGGAGGTCTGCCAGCTGAAGGATCTCTGGGACACTGCTGGGGTGGTGACCTCCAGCATCCGTGCCTGGGAGACCACCATGTGGAGGGATATCAATGTGGAGGCCATGGACGTGGAGTGCAAGCAGTTTGCCAGGCACATCTGGAACCTTGACAAGGAAGTCAGGGCCTGGGATGCCTTCATGGGCCTGGAAAGCACTGTGCTGAACACTCTGACCTCGCTGAGGGCCGTGGCTGAGCTCTAGAATCTGGCCATCCGGTGGCGGCACTGGGGGCAGCTGATGCAGGCCACGGGTGTGAGCTTCACCGTGGGTGAGGGCATGACACTGGCACAGCTCTTGCACCGCTTTGAGGATGAGGTCCAGGGCATTGTGGACAAAGCAGTGAAGGAGATGGGGATGGAGAAGACCTTGAAGGAGCTGCATGCCACCTGGGCCAGCATGGAGTTCCAGTACGAGCCCCACCTGCGGACAAATGTCCCCCTGCTGCGGTCAGATGAAGGCCTCATTGAGGTCCTGGAGGATAACCAAGTGCAGCTTCAGAACCTGATGATGTCCAAGTATGTTGCTTTCTTCCTAGAGGAAGTGTTGGGCTGGCAGAGGAAGCTGTCCACAGCCGATGCTGTCATCGCCATCTGGTTTGATGTGCAGCGCACGTGGTCTCATCTGGAGAGTATGTTCATTGGATCTGACGATATCTGGGCTCAGCTGCCCCAGGTACTTGCTAAGGAAACCCTGCCCTCTGTTCCCTTCCTGAGTCAAGGGAAGAGCACCCAGTTCCTTCATCCTCTAGACCTTTCCTTCTCTGTTGCCTGCCTTGGCCTCACTCAACAAATGCTTGTGCTTCACGAGCCACCAAAAGTCAGGCAGAGGAAAAGAAAGAAGTTAAAATGTACACCAGTCAGTTTGTCCCTGGGTGGGTGGGCAAAAGAGAACCTGGATTTTAAAAAAGCCGATGTACACAAGAGAAGAGATAGAAAATATTTTGCTACTGCAGTTTGTGGTGAGCTGCTCATGGGTTGTCCCATAGATGATTATAATGCAGCTGTCGATTGGCAGAGAGCACTGTTTCCAAGCATATTCACATTCCTTCTCAGCAGCAAGCTGTTCTGTAACCCTCTGGCCTGTGCCACATGGTAAATACCAGTCTTCAGCTAAATACGAAACATGGAATTTCTCTAAAATATGCGTCCTTCTCTTTGCTACCTTCCCTGTGGTTGATAGCTCTTTCTAATTAGTCCTAATTAATGTGCCATTAACTTAGCTCCTTCAGTGGACTCTAACTCATTAAAAGAATTTTTTTTTTTGGCAGGCTTTCTCTGGGTCCCTTCCATACAGCAAGGTCTTTGCTTACAAATTAGTTTAATTCCAGAATGTCTAATGACATCCAGGTCTTGCTAAAAAGTTTAAAGCACATTCCATCAAAACATTTTATATTCCCAGCTCATCCCACAAAAGCATATTTAATGTAATAATACAGATTAAAGGTCGCACATTTGGAGTGGAAACTAACAGAAAACAATTCTGTCAGAGCTTTTGTAATTAGGCCAAATTGAATAAGCCACGTTTTATTTATCTCCAGTGCTAGTGATTGAAGAAGAGCAGGTTTAATTATAAGGAGGTGAAGACATGGATGGAGGCTTTGGTAAAGACTTTAATGGAGGCATTTGAAGACTTTCAATGAAATACAATAAAGAATCAATCAGTATCATTAACTGCTCAACAGTGCCACAAATGTGTGTGTAAAATATGTAAATATGTGTTCGTATTAACAAAACGATAATAGAGACAATCTCAAAACAAAATCAGTCATCTTACAGCCTAATTAGTAACTATTTTCATTCATTAAGAATATTTCCCAATTTTTGTTTATGTATATACATATTTTTACATAATTGCTGTTGGTGTAATTATAGTTCTCTCAATTCAGCTCTTTTTCATTTTAACATTTATGCCAGTATTTCCAATACTTCTATAACCTTGATACCTTTTCCACACATAACTGGAGCCAAGTATCTCATTAGGGAATCATAATTCACTTTACGTGGCCCTGTTAGTCTAAGTCTTCCTGGACAGGGGTGAATTACAGAGGTCTGGGGCAGACAGGGCCGGCAGCATGCTCCTGAGTCTGAATGCTGCCACTTGCAGCTGTGGGGTTGTAAGAAAGTCACCCGCTCTGTGCCCTGGTTTCCTCCTATGTAAACTGAGACTAATACTAGTACCTCTTTCAGGGAGTCAATTAAAACAGTGCACAGAGCACATACCATTGTAACTGTTGATATATAGTAATAATAATACCACAAACTCTAGGTACCAGGTATGGAGCTAAAGTGCTTTACATATGTTATTGTCAGAATCATTACAACAACACTCGGGGGGGATGTGTGTTTCAGAAAAATGATGACATCTAACTTTGACATCACAAGTGCTGAGGAAAAACTTAGTTTGGTTGCCTAAACTTCTGTATGGACCCAGAAAGAATACTGGATCCACTATCTACCTGACTTAGGAGTTCTGTGTTTGATGCCAACTTTCTCAAAGTGTGGTCCAGTGACCTCCAAGAGTCAAAAGTCGAGGTCAAAACTGTCTTAATAATAATGTTAAAATGTTATTTTCCCTTTAGACTTTCATTCTTCTATGAGCATACAGGGGAGTTTTCCAGAGGTTGCATGACATATGCTATCACAACACACTGAATGCAGAAGCGGAGAAGTGAATCTAGTCATCTCATTAAAGTCAGACATTAAAGAGATTCGCAATAAAGAAAGGAGAAGAAAAGGAACAATGCCATTTTTTTCTCTAAGTTATTTTGTTTGGGGGAATATAATTATTTTGGATAAAAGAACATATTATGTTAACATAATGAGCTTAATAGTGTTACTTTTTAAATGAATTA